ACAACAAATCTGTAAGGTCGCGGTGATTAACTCCCCTCCTAAACATTCTACATTCATGGTTTGGAAATGAACATCGCTGTCATTTTATATGTAAAATTACATGAGGAATGATATCGATCAAGGCAACTAGACTACGTTTTTTTTTCGATATAAAGATATTTCCTCTGTTTTTTTTTATTTTATTAATTCAATATGTGTGCGAAGTTTCATAAGTACATTGAAACATGGAACATGAGTTTTAAAATTTGAAACAGGCAGTAAATTTCATATATAAATAAATAAATCTTGCAAGTTAAATAAAAACATCATAAAAAACATGTACGATCTAGGGGTGCAAATGAAAGAAGAGTATGAAGGGATTCATGATCGTAATTAATGATTTATGATTATGATGACACGTTATAACAAGGTTAAGACCTATTACATTGTGTTAGTCCGTCTGTAATTATATCATGCTCAAAAAAACCCTCTAATGTAACCAAGGTAAACAAATATTGATAGAACGACTTTCTTCAAGGATATATTTAAGAGCTTATAGGAAAGTCACCCTCAATTAAGACTTATATAGGTTATTTAGTGCCATTGAAATAAAGAAATGAAAAAAAAACGTACGTAAATTACTAGTTCTCGTGCAAGTCTCTAGAACAAACATTAAATATGAATAATTTACTAGACTTATAGTAAGCATTCGGTCTATTTTTAGACGCTTACATATTTTTCGATAAATTCAATTTAACTTATTAACCTAGTTAGGGGAACAGCATAACATAGCGGGAGTTTTTCTTACAGAATTTGGTTCGATCAAAGAGCGTGTTTGTATTATTTATTTAGGTTGTATTTTTTGACCTTCGCAAGCGACGATAAAATACACTTTTTCGGTTTATGTTTCTATTTCGTAATTTCGTTTCGATTTTCTGAAATAGCTGCCGATGATGAGAGATGGGATGACACCTCGAATGACACACATATGCGCCGATGCAGGGCTTAAGAACACTAACTTTAGTGAGTTCAAAAATAAGTTAAATTTACTATAAGTTATAGTCTTATTTTGGGTAATCGAATGGTATCAACGGTGTTAATGGTGTCAATATTTATTGAGTTATAATAACTCATCATACAGTCTCAGGGCTTTGACTAAAGCCAGTATCTGAGACAGTTTTACAGAGGTTAGTCCTCCATCTCCGATATAAATTGTACCAAAATTTATGGCATGAATGGTTGTCTCGGCGCACTCAGCGATAAGGTGTTCTGGTGTTCCCATTTTTCCCACAGAATCTGCATTCGCCCGTTGTTTCTTACCTAGACACTGATGTCCATCTACACTATCAGACAAAGTAGAGAGACTTTTTAAAACACGTCGGATTTCAAAAACCTCCAATATTTAAAATAATATTTGTTTTAAACATATTTCCTTTTAGCAATATCATCATTTTTCGCCACATTCCAAATTTATCTTATCAGGTGTTTATTTATAATATGGACACAAATATTTTTGAAGGGACATAAATAATGAAACCAACATAAAAATTGACCATACTTAGTAGTTATTTGCTTAAGGTGAAAAAACATATTCTGATTTACATTTTTACTAAATATGCCACGCGGAAAATATTTGTCTGAGGATCTTCGCGAAAAAATAGTCAATGCACATCGGAATGGTGTACGGCAAATGGACATATTAGGCAAAACTTAGACTTTTCCAATTTCAAAATTCTCAATTTCTTAAAGACTATTAAAAAAGTGGCCGGCCAAGAAAAACAACGAAAAAAATTGAAATGATGATTAAAAAAATCGCTTTAACTAATCCGCATAAATCGCCAAATCAAATTTTGAGTGAACTACCTGGTGTCAATATAAGCTCTAAGACCATCCAAAGAAGACTAAGGGAAGCAGGATTATTTAGTAGAAGAGCAGCCAAAAAATCACTCATCAGTAAGAAGAACCAGAAGGCCCGACTTACCTTTGCAAAAAATATTTGCACTGGTCGACGAATGACTGGAAAAAGGTCCTGTTTTCAGATGAAAACAAACTCATTATATTTGGATCCGATGGCATATCGTGAATACATTGCCCAGAAGGGAAAATATTTGATCCAAAGTATACCAAGGCCACTGTAAAGCATGGTGGTAGATCTTGCATGGCGTGGGGATGCTTCTCGGGCTATGGCATGTAATAGAAGGAACAATGGATCGATTTATGTATTTGGACATCTTAAAGTAAGTGATGATTAAGTTTACTGATGATAATTTGCCTTTAATCTGGATATTTCAGCAAGAAAATGATCCAAAGCATAAATCGAAAGTCTTACAAGGATGGTGTTTGTCTGAACAAATTAGGGTTGTGGACTTTCCTGCCCAAAGTCCAGACCTTAACCCCATTGAAAACCTGTGGGACGAACAAGATCGCCGGGTAAGACGAAGTCACATTAGCAATAAGAAAGATTTGATAAGAATTTTGCAAGAGGCCTGCAATTCCATTGAACCAGATACCGTAAGAAAGCTATTGGACTTCATGCCAAAGCGATGTTGTGAAGTTATAGATAATCACGGTTACTCTACTCATTATTAATTTTATTAGGTTAGCAACAACTATGTACTTGTAATTTTTATACTATTAATTTTTAGTTTCTCTATTTTTGTCCCTATAGTTTTTTATTTAACTGAATAAAATCTTAAGTTTTCTTGAGATATGTGATTATTTCATTTAAATAAGAACTATTTAAGTATCTTTAATTTTAACAATGCATAAAATGGCCTCAGTCCCTGCGTTAACAGAAAAGACACTATTTTAAAAAGTTTCTCTACTTTTGTCCGATAGTGTAGTAATGAAAGCCGGTTTGGTTTGGTTGTATCCGAGCATTTATATATATATATATATATATATATATATATATATATATATATATATATATATATATATATATATATATATCTATATATATAAAATAGTTTTTGGTCTACATTCTGAAGATAGGTAGGTATCTACTATGTTTCCTTCAGGATGAATCCAGACCATCGCATAGTAAGAAAAGCAGAACGGTGGATCAGTGTATCGATCTCCAGAAATTCAATTAGCTGAAATTTTTCGAAAATTCATCTGTCAAAAATTTCAGTCAATAGAAATAGAATTGCTGGAGATCAATAAGCCGATCCGCGTTTCTGCTTTTCCTACGATTGGGTAGATTCACCCTTCGCAGATAAAATCGTTCAGCATATTTTAATTACAAGTTCACAATGAGTAAGGAGATCTTGGCATGATAATATAAAATAAAAAACCTTGTATAACAAAAACAGATCTAATAATAATCAAGCGATAACATCGATTCTCCGATTTTTTCGTGATTCAACGATAAACACAAGGAAACACTCGAAAATTATAAATAAATAAAATAATCGTTGACCAAATTAACTTCAATGCGATCCAAAAATAAATGTAAGCTCTCGGTTTTAACGCCTGAATCGTCAGAATTGAGTGCGCTAAACCTATCTATCTATCGGTGCATTTTGCAATAGCCTACAGATCAGTGGCGTACGAATGTTTTGTTTTGGTTTAACCGGTTGGGAAAGGAGACAATAATTAACTAGCAATGAATGAAAAAAGCGTTTCTGATTATAAAAATACTGTGCGTTATCGCGGTAGTGACGATGTTGTTTGCTCGAGCGTTGAAACAAACATGCGTGAAAGATATTTTTTATTCAGTCACTTTGATCCGTTCTTTTTCTGATATATGTATGTTATTCGATTAATACAATTATTTCTGCTTGTTTTTTTGATAATTTTTTTCTGATTTTTAAATGAAACTTTTTTGTTTACCTACAATATTTTATAGTAAAAATAAAAGTGCAAGAGAATTCTACCGTATAATCGAAAAAAAAACGACGTAAAAGAAAGCTGGGGAATGACAATCGATCATAATTTTAGTGAGGTCAATCTCTAGACTTTGTTTACTAAGAATAATTTTTACTCAATATAAAATAAATTACAGCCTTCTTAAGGGCATCTGTCAGTAAGTGCCATTAAAAAATAAAGAAGAGTACAGGCCAAGTAAATGCCGTTTAGGGCTTGACCTCGCCAAAATTATTATCGATTGTCATTCTCCAGCCGTCTTTGACGCCGTTTTTTTTCGAGATCGTATGGTATTTAGTAAAACTAAAAAATATTCAGAATGGAAATAAAGTTTCAAATTTTTCATGTCACGGTAATGACATTAGAGACATTTGGTAGACACTGCAAGTACATTTGGTAGTACAAAAATGTATTAATTATAACAAAAAAAAATCAATAGTTTAGTTAGACACAAACTCGTTGAATTATATCAGTTTTATGGAGTTTGAATACACTACTTTCAGTATGACATATTAGTCGTTTCAATAATCTCAAAGTAAATGACATTCATACAAATTCAAATTTGAAAATTAGCAAATTGGCTTAAATTTTTGGACAAAAACATTAAGTTGAAAATCTGTGTCAAGCTGATATATTGAATAATATACTGAAGTTTATCAGCTAATTAATTATATTAATATTATTTTTTGCGACAAAAATAATGAATTTGCAGATCAATCCTGGAAAAGGTACTATTAGACAATAAGATGGAAAAAAAACGGCGTCAGCGATGGCTATGGAATGAAGATCGCTATCATTTTATATGTAAAATTATATGGAAAATGTCATCAATGTTCATTTCCAAGCTAACTGGACGTCGTTTTTTTTCGATCATACGGTACAAGAGATTGTATACTGTATTGGTACAAATATTACAGTAACATAATATTCACAATGTACTACTAGTGAAAGCAAAAAATAGTAGACATAAATAGTCAGTTAGAATAGAACAACTCCTGTCGTAGTGATCAAAATTGCGGGAAAACCAGCTGGTACCGCATACGTACGACGCAGTATTTAGTACATAACTGCCGCTATTTTCGATGTTTACAAACATGCACGTAACTAAAACGCAATAGCGCTGTCCAAAACAGCTGATCAACCTTTGCACTTACCAGCAAGAGTTCTCCGGACGGGCTATCTTCGAATTGCCCGACCTCCTCTGCCGCAGGAAGTCCTGCAGCTTCTGCTTAACTTCCGTGGAGGCCACCGCGCTCTCCTCATGCTTCTCCTTCTTCCTGAGCGCCTCGAGCTGTTCCCTCTGCCTCACCTCCTGCAACTGTTTCTGCCTGTCCCAGAACTCCTTCAAGTGTTGCCTGAGCTGTTGCTCGTGCTGCTCGGCCAGGTGCTGCTGTTGCTGGTGGAAGTGTTGCAGCAGGATCTGGTGCTGGAGCTGGTGCTGCTTCTTGATCTGCAGGATCTGTTGCTCGAGCTCGCGTTCCGCCTGCTCACCATCCGCCATCCCCTTAGTTATTGTCCATGACATGAGTCGTTGCACTTACGCCACCATTCGCGCACTTAATCACCACTAAACACTGCCGTTAATGTCCAAAACAAACTGTCAGAATCAATTCGTCGATTTTATGTGAGGTCATTTCGGTCGCAGTTACGCTAAGTATAGAGGCACACACCGCAGCGCGAGCGACGAGTGCCGCGCTGTTGCCGCTTCTATGCGTATTGATAAGCAGGCGACGCGAACGTCCGAGCTGTAGCAGGAAAAGTTTCGAATGTACTAACCGGCAGGAACGGAATGTACGAAAGTTTTTCTCAGCTGACGTCACGCTTCGATGCTATGTAGATGGGGCTTTTCGAGAAGGTAATTATTTGTTTAATGCCATTTAAAATACAAAAATTAACTTGGTTTGTTAGTAGTAGTTATACATTATATTACAGGGTGTCCCAGAAATAAGTGCAAGTATTCTGGTAGTATAGTTCAACCCCAGAAACAGGCTTATGAGGTTTTTTTCGCGAAAAAAAAAATCAAAAATCGAAATTTTTTTTGGATTTTTTTTTAGGTTTTAGTTAAAAAACATAATTTTTCGATAATATGGCAACATAGGTATTAGATTAAATTTACAAGAAAGAAAATCCAGAAAAGATCTAGCGGTTCTCAAAATTTTAGTAAAAAATCATTTTTTGGAAATTTTCAAAGTAAAATAACTCCGTTATTTTGGGCTTATTTGAAAAACGATAAAGAGAAATGTTTCTCTTATCGAGATCTACCACCCCTTAAAATCCTTGCACTTATTTCTGGGACACTCTGTATAGTTAAATGATTAATTATTTTATTAACGTAAGTAATAATATTATTATTAATAACCACCTCTGGCGGTTTGAGAGACAAATAATATTCGAATTATGAAATTTTTTCACCAAAAATGATCTCGCGTTTCAGCACTGACATGCATGTCATTGGTTCACCATCTCTACTCTAGTTTAGAATTTAAATTACCTAGTTCAACTTTGATTACGCTCAGTGATGTGTAAATTTTTAAAATTTAAGACAATGCCAGTCTAAAAAGATATTTTATTTCAAATGTTTTTATAAATCATATAATTAAATTAATATTTTAAATAAAATTATTAATAATATTCCATAAGAATTTTGTACTAAATATCGTACATTAAATTAATAGAAACAACGCCAGGTCGAGCGGCGACAGGCAGCGCCTCCTGCATAGCAGGAATTAACTAGCTAGTTCTTTCACATTCGCACGCAGAGATTCTTATATCTGTCGGTCTTTGTCTTTACGCAGGAACAGGCGACTGCTTCGAATTCACTTGTCTACTCGCCAGAGGTGGTTCGAAAATGTTTAATTTATCAATAATATAAAAAAAAACGTTTGATGAGTTTGATGTAATATTTTATTTGGCTGTTTTTCTGTCCTAATTGAAAATATGTTGGTTAGTTTTGTTGTTATACGTGTATTTATTGGCTGCATACTTTTTAGTTTCTGATATGTAATAAGGTAAGTATTTGTAACGTTTTTTTAAATAGATTTATTTCACGTTTTAGATATTATTATTTTAGGCGATTTCAAAAATATTTTGATTATGTTTTTGATATTTTTTTAAAACGTCATATCTCAATTTCAACTACATAATTTCTTGTTAAATTTTAATGCAGTAGGTACCTATTAAATATAGTTACATGATTTTATTCACAATGTTATTTGTTTATATATTAATTTTATCTCTTTATCTATCATGACTACTTCAAGCTTCAAAATATAATATATGTAATGGCTGTACATGAACTTGAATATGATCGAAAAAAAATTGGCGTCGAGTTACTATCAAAAAACGTCAACATTATAAACGTGTCTATACATACTATTAAATAAATTATGTATGTGCTCTCAAAATAATTAGATTTAGATTAATTTTTTTTTGCTGCTGGCGACAGAATGAGATAAACCACTGAAACCATAGTTTAAGTTTGGTTTAAGTATTTTTCTTGATTTACAGGTAAAAAGACACTGAGAGTTTAAAAAAGACAATGGCACTTTACCTAAAATAATTTTTTTGATTTTTTAGATTTCTGTTTCAGTGGTGAAATACCCAGCTTTTTTCCAAAAATGAACTACATAAATAATAATTATAGACAATATTTTTTTATTTTTAAATATAAAATATTTTTTTATTAATAAGAAATTGTAGTGTTATATATTTTTGGTCAATCTATCAGCTTTTAAATTATAAACATACTGTATTCTTTAAATTAGTGGGATTATTATTAATTATCTCATATAATAATCATTCCAAGTTTGGACAATATCTTGACAAAAAATATTTTTACTATCTGTTTATATGGTAATCACAACCTATTCATTAGACAGCCAGTCGAATTCGCTAGTTTTTGAATATCCGCGCTTTTCTACTGTATGATTGAAAAAAAAGCATCAAAGACGGCTGGGGAATGACAATAGATGATACTTTTGGCGAGGTCATTCTCTAGACGTCATATACTAAAAATGGACATAAAACTGGTCAAAATTAACGCTAATTATAAAAAAAAGAATAGAATGTGTTAAGACACTCAAATCTATTTCCAAACAAAAATTAAACAACATCATTTAAAAATCATTTTTACTCAATATAAAAATACATTACAACCTCTTTAAGGCCAACTGGCTGTAAGCGCCATTAAAAAGTTAAGAAGACTACGGGCCAAATAATGACGTCTTGAGTAAGACTTGACCTCGCCAAAATTATCATTGATTGTCATTCCGCAGCCTTCTTTGATGCTGTTTTTTTTTTCTTGTAACATGAGATAAGCGAATATTCTAACACTTGATCAAACACACACAATTTCTACAAAATACCAATTAATATATTTTTTTAAATTACCGTTTGATCAAAAAGTTTCTCAATCAAATGAGCTGTGATTTTTACAGTTTCTAATCTAGTTTTCCATAAGAATATAATAATTACAAAAGTTTTTAGTTTTTCAAGATTTTTGTTTCGTTACGCCACTGTCAATGTTGGCAAGGAAACTAAACAAATTTGCTCTAGTTTCAAGCGCGCCGGTGGAAATCTTAAATTCGCTCTTTTTCGGCGATATTTTAGTGATCGAAAGAGTAAAGAAGCGTTTACTCTTTTTTATTCTTATTTCAGATTTCAACTCTGATACCCTGAGGCTATCGAATCGAAGAAAATGAAGAAAAAATCTACCATCGCAACCTGTTCCGGACATACATACATGGTGCTAAATTCAAACTTGCGGCAGCAACAGTCAGGACTAATGATAAGCGAAAATATCGATATATCAAAAGATCGATTGTGTACTATCGAAATATTTTATTTCTAATTTAAATATCAAAAAATATATCAATGACATGGTATTTTTGGAAGTGGAAGCACGTGCGCTGACTGAATTTTTAGTCGGCCGACTGTTTAGTTGCAGGTTTGTAACCAATGTATTCTTATTGAGTCTCGCATAAGAATACATTGGTTACAAACTTGCAGCTAAATAGTCGGCCGACTAAAAATTATGTCAGCGCACGAGCAAATATTATGACTAATCCAAGGAGCAAGAAAGACAGGTTAGATAAATACAAATATTTTCAGTCGTTCACCCCTATAACTTTTTTATTTTTTCAGATAAAACAACGAGATTTGGTACGTTAGTATATGACATAAATTAGGATTGATTGACAAATTCAATTGTTTTCGGTCACTTCCGGTTTCACCGGAAATGACTACAACTTTTGAATTTTAAATGGCACCCTCGGTATTTTTTTACTTTACTGACACTTACTGAAAATGACACTCTGAATAGACTGATATATCATATGTCCACTTTTGACATTTTCGCATATGGTTTATTTGAAACTGTAACATGCGGTTCATAACGACAATTTGACTCGAAGTACCAAGTGTGTGGTATCAAATTATTGGTAAAAAAAATCTTTTTCGAAATATGCTAATGAGCCACCCTCGTTCCATTTGAAAAAAATTGAGATATGATCAAAAATACGATTGGGCATCTTTTAACCGGCCAGGACAAGACACTAAAAACATTAGACGATCAAATCTATTTTTCCAAGGCTCCTTGATTAAAAATTAGTGTTTTTAACACAGCCATGGCACTCTAGATTGAAATTTAAAATACAATTTGTTTTTGAGCGAATATGTCAAAAGTTGACATATTATGATATGTCGTTCTATTTAGAATGTTTTTTTCTATTGAATAAAGTAAAAAAATACCGAGGGTGTCATCATTTAAAAATCAAAAATTGTAGTCATTTCCGGTGAAACAGGAAGTGACAGAAAACAACTGAATATGTCAATCAATCCTAATTTATGTCATATACTAACATACCAAATCTCATTTTTTTATCTAAAAAAATAAAAAAGTTATAGGGGTGAGCCACTTTTGAGACGCACCCGATATATACGGCATCGTATAAATTTGCTACCTGCAATGTATGTAGAAAATTCGCTCGGCTTTTTATCGAGTATGTCACATTAAAATCGGATTTCAATTTATTTCATTCTAGGATCGCTTGCGTTTTTCGCTTAGTACTTGTCACTTGCATCGCTCGTTCATAATCGAGCGATGGTTATTTCAATAATCGAGTACTCGAGTTTCAAGCGATTGCAATAATCGAGCGATCGCTCGAGCGAAATATCGCTCGTATTTAAAAATACGGGTTTTCGACCTCACTTGTTGTAAGTACTCGTTAACGCCAAGCGCCAAGCAGTAAGTTGCTTGCGCAGGAGACATATTCTTTCGGTGATGAATGGCAAGTAGCAAGCGATTCGCTTAATCGCTTCATTCAGTTTATATCAAAGCATTGTCGATGTAGGCTGTAAAATGTTGTCCCTCAGATACGCAACGGATAACGTCGTATAATTTTGCTACCTGCAATGTATGTAAAAAATTCGCTCGGCTTTTTATCGAGTATGTCACATTAAAATCGGATTTCAATTTATTTCATTTTAGGATCGCTTGCGTTCGTCGCTCGTAACTCGTCACTTGCATGGCTCGTTCATAATCGAGCGATGTCGGTTATTTCAATAATCGAGTACTCGAGCAAATTTTCGCTTGAGTTATCCCATCACTACTAACGTAGATAGATATTCTGTGCTACTAGTTATCATCCTGTATGTCGATATTATTTTGAACTAAAGTACATCTCTAGTAAAAACCGCATCGACTATACGTAGTTCCCGACCGTTCTGG